CCCCAGTAAAATTCTGCAATTTAGTTCAATCTAGATATACCCCTGGCAATAAATGAAGAAATAGTCTTTGCAAAGTTACTTCTGGAGAAATAATATGTATAAAGGTGAATTCATTAGGAGAAGAGACTTTGCCCAGCACTTCCTCCCGATAGTTAATTTTCACAAGTGGTTTTCAGAAATTCCCTTTAGAATACAAACAACTTGTTTAGGATTTTCCCTTACCCAATCTCTATTAAATGTAGTTAACAATGAAAGGAACTGGAAGAATGTATCAGATTAGATCCAAATTGAAATCTTTATTACACAAATAGTATTTCGAAGATATAATACTTGGCTTCAGTGGTGTTATTCTGGATTTGCTTTTGATCTCATTAAACTCTTATGAGATCAAAACCTGCTAAGCTGATTTGGGGGGAGGGGAGGGAGTGTTGCAATCCTTTTTCCATGGTGAAAAGTACTTTTCCACTTAATATTATGCACTGCATTTGTCAGGCTTGTGAAATTAGGGAAATGATCTGTATAGCATTCTTAAGATCAAGAAAGCTATGTGTAACTCCTTGTTTTTCTGTGAATCTTTTTTTATGGTAAATACCCTTAGAGTTTCACTTCTGTGACTCTTGAGCATTTCTGTTGACACTGCTGGTTTAGTTCCTCCTTTAACATTTTAGAAATGAAGTTCAAAAGATGTTTTGAGATTGGGATAACAAAATAGTTTCAGATTCTTTGACCAGACTCTGAAGAACTTAGGATTCATTCAGGATTTGAATACTGCACTGACTACCAAGTTCCCTAGGAGACAAAAGTCATAGCCCATTGCTGGGACAGCAGGAGGACAATGCAATCATGTATATTCTCTCTGACATGGAGCATTTCCTCTTATTATGCTGTATCCAGACTATTCTGATGGTTATTGTTTTGCTAAAGAACTGCAATTGCACAGATAATTAGAAATACAACTCCCACTCACTTTATAGTACCAGTATAGTCTCACTGTAGGACAAAGGTTGATTTCCTTTATGCCAGCTTATTTCTAAAGTATGACTGACTGGTTTTCACGAAATTCAAAAAGATGACATAAATGCAGTTAGCACGTTGGTTTTATACTTTGGAACAGAAATTCGTGTCAAGCATACAATGCACATTTGCAGTTTATCTGCCACCCCTCTTTTTTTTTTTTTTTTTTGGTTTTTCTAAAATAAAATGATGAGTTATTCATATGAGCAAGAGCAGTAGAGCACAAAGAGAATTTCTTTCTCCTCACAGCTCTTGGTTAGATCAGTGTCTTCAACGAAGGAACAGGTTTCCTTAAATAGGGACACTTTGGAAAGACCACCAACATGCTTTAAAATCTGCTAAAGCAAAGTCAGGTGCTGCACTATGTTTTTATTTTTGCTTTGTATGCAAAAATGTACATCTTCCTAAACAACGGGAACTGCCATATGTGGTCAGATGTCTGTAAGAGTGAGAATCAGGATGTGAGCTCATAAGCCATACTAGCCTCGACAATATCAGTTAGAAAACTTTCTGGTGGGTAGTTCACTAACACCTCCAGAATAAAAGCAGAGCACAGCAACCAAGAACTGAAGAATTTCCAGAATGAGTCAAGATGAGGAAAACAGTATGAACTTGACATGGAATATTGTGAGGCCTGTAGTCTGCATAATACTGAGTTTGTCATTTATTATTGGGGCCCCTGGAAACTGCATCGTCATCTGGACTGTTTGTACAAAAATGAAGCAAGTATCTCCTTCGGTCCTGCTGATCTTGAACCTTGCCATTGCTGATGTCCTTGTACTGATCACATTACCAATTTGGATTTACTCCTTTGCTGATTCATGGGTTTTTGGGGTCATCTTCTGCAAAATACTGGTTTTCATCATTTACTGCAGCATGTATGCTAGTATATTTCTAATTACAACGCTGAGCCTGGAGCGATTAATGGCTGTGTTTTACCCTTTCACAATGCAAAGATACAAAACAAAAGGAAGAATTTACTTCATCATGTTCCTCATTTGGTCCCTGTCTGTCGCTTTCGGCATTTCTGTCATTCCATTCCAAGAGACAGAAGAAGTGAACGGTCGACCACTATGCACGTGTCGCAACTACTCTTCTAATAGACAGAAAGCCTCATATCTTTTGCTGGAGACTCTTGGGGGTTTTGTAATCCCTTTTTTAATTATTTGCACTTGTTACCTGTGCATTGCAAGAAGAATAAGCAGAATGACTTACCAATCGAAGCAGCGATCGGAGCGTCTCATTGCCAGCGTTGTGGTGGCATTCATTCTGTGCTGGTTCCCTCATCATCTCTTCAACATCCTAGATATTATTTCAATTGAAATAGAACTCTCTAATGAGGAAATGTCTTTGGCACTGGATGAAATTGTAGACAGAGGAGTGTACATCTCTGGAGCACTTGTGTTCTTCAGTAGCTGTATTAACCCTCTGCTTTATGCTCTTGCTGCACGAAGATTTCGGAATCACCTGAGATTTGCCAAGATATCAAAGCTGTTTGAACAGATGAGTCAGACTGTACCAGAGGAAGAGAAGAAAAGAAGTTTGGTTGTAGCCAGACAAGAAGGTCCTTTAGTAAGCACAGAAAATCTCTAACAAGGAACTCAATGAATAATGTGATTCTGTGCCATTCCTTCAGTAGTCCTTTCTCCTCATACTCTCAGTTTCAGTCCAGGAAAACCTAGAGACAGATAGAAGTTTTTGTTCTTTTTTTTTTTATTCTTGTGTGCTTTATAAGAATTTGCATTGAAAATCCAGTTCAGGGCTTAAGTTTATATCTATGTTATGAAATGAGCACTATTTCACAGTTGCTGAGAACCTCAGCAAGGTGGGTAGAAGCTCAAAGTGTAAGTACACCATTTTTACTTCCCATTAAAATTATTTGTGATTCCTAGAAAGTCTGTGTGCAGAAAACAGAAAAGGACTGTATGTGGAAAAGAGAAACTTTGACACTAAGTTTTTCAGAAAAAAATTTGTTAGATTATACAAGGATTTTTGAACATCTCCAGTTTTAAGAGAGCACAGTTAAATTCTTGATATGGGTAAGAATGGTTTTTAAGTATACTAATGACACAATACTCTTCTGGGTAGATGGAAAATCTAAAGCTATTGGTATTCATTACTTTATTTAGGTTTGAAGGTAAGGGTTGTTTATACTGTGAAGCTCATTTACTGCATTTTCTTGTGGTAATAGGTTTGAACAAGTAAAATATGAAACACTCTAAAATGTGAACATCATTACAGACTGCATGCTGTATTTGAGGTCAAATATGTTGTATACTTCTGTGGCAACACATCCTTGGAGTATTATCAGAAAGTTTTAATTCAGTTAAGCTTCCAAGATGTCTA